TTTTTGGATGAGTTAAGGAATTAAACTACAAAAAGAACAGTAAAGGTCAAAATATCAAAACAAAATGAGAAAACCCAAATATTTAACAATTTTTGTCACCTTCTGAACTAATTATACCTGTCTTTTTGAGCACCTACTATGTGCTGTGTTTTGTAGCTTTAATGGTTCATCCACTTTGTGATGTTCTAATTTGATAACTGTGTCACATATCTCTTAGGGTTTGTTTTGTTATAACACTGGGCCTAGTAGAGGGGGAACACCCACAACCCACACTAAGTAAGTCACTTGAACTTACTTTGTCCATGGATCTCAGGGATGAGTAGGACATAAAAACAGAATAGGAGCATGGAAGAAGTGTGTGTTTCTGTGTAGTGATGGGCATGCTAAAGGCAGAATCTGAAAGATGGTCCATGTGATTGAACTCCAGAAAGCAAGGATGAGCATGGGTATGGGAAACTGGCTAGAGATGGCTGCCCCATGGAAAACTTCATCTTTATATTGAAAGAGTAGAAACAACAGAAGGATTTAGCCCCAGGGAAAGTGATAACTACATTTCAGTTCGAAATATCGTCATTCTTTGGAACTGATTCAGAAGCACTGAACAGGATTTGGAACATCTCTCTCATTATTTTGTGCAAGTATAAACTGAAGTTCTGATTGCTTAAAGAAAGAACCTGCGGTCTGGTATATAAGCACAGCTTATCCATTAGAAGTTAAATAAAGCTGTGAATGAACGGACTCTGTTTATCTTGGTTTGACTTATTTTTCCTTTTGTATAAATATTGCTGCTGTTGCTTGGAGGCATGGTCCTTAGTCTCCAAGCCAGATGATGGTAGTAAGGGCTTCTTAGGGCTAGAAATTTGGTGGGGAGATAGTAAGGTTGGAATGATGTAAGAGAGGAGGTCTAAAAGTGATCAAAATACATTGTATGAAATTCTAGAATCAATAAAATATTTTAATAATAATAATAATAATAATAATAGTAATAGAGATGCCCAAATTTCCATGGACTTTTCCAAGTTCTTTCTTTGATATTCGGAAGCAGTCACCCAAGGCTCTTGAACTCTTGGTCTTAAATAATTCTTTTTCTTTTCTACCTCCCTTCAATCAATGAAAATCTCTTCCTCCACTCTTATGGCCATCTTACTACTTTCATGACCTTCCAGTGTGCAGAAACACACACACACACACACACACACACACACACAAATTTGAATCCAGGTTCTGCAAGTGAGAGAAAACATGTCATTGTCTTTCTGAATCTGGCTTATTTTATATGAACCAGTAATCTCTAGTTCCATGGTTTTCCCCAAAATGTCATGATTTCATTTTTTAAGGCTGAATAAAACCCTACTGTGCATACATACGATGTTTTCTTTATCCATTCATTTGTTGATGGGTATCTTGGCCAGTTCCATTTCTTAGCTATTGTGAATAGTGCAGTAATAAACATGGTTACATAAACATGTCTGTGTTGTGTTTTTATTAAGAGTTTTCAGGGTATATAAGCAGAAGTGGGATAGCTCCATCATATGGTAGTGCTGTTTTTAGGTGTTTGAGGATTGTCCACACTGACTTCCATAGAAGGGTACCAGGTACATTTGCCACAGCGTTGTGTAAGCACTTTTCTGTCCCACAGCCTCTTCATCATTATTGTTGCTTGTTTCCCTGGTGGTAGCCATCTGAGTGGCAGGAGATGGAATCGCTAGGAAGTTTTCTTCTGCATGTCTCTGATGGCTAAGGATACCGAACACTGTCGAGTATTTATTGTACTATTACACTTCTTTTTAGGGCTGTCCGTTTGGTTCATTGGCCCATTTGTTGATTTGTTTTGAGGATATTTAAGTTTTGAATTTTGTTATGTATTTTAGCTTTCAATGCTCTGTGTGATATATAGTTGGCAGTTTTTCCATTCTTCAGACTGTCTCCTCACTCTAGTGAGGCTTTTTAAAATAATTTTTATTGATTTATTTTTATTTTATGTGTAGGAATGTTGTGCTTACATGTATGTAAGTGTACCCATGTCCTACAGTGCCTGTGGAGGAGAGAGGATGGCATCAGATTCCCTGGAACTTGGGTTACCAACAGTTGTTAGCTACCATGTGAATGCTAGGATTCATACCTGGGTCTTCTGCAAGAGTAGCCAGTGATCTTTTTTTTATATTTTATTTATTATTTTTATTTTATGTGTGTGTATTGCCTGCATGTAGGTAAGTGCACCTGTGTCATGAAATACCTTCAGAGGACAAGAAAGGTTGCTGGATCCCCTGGAACTGGAGTTATGGACAGTTATTAGCTGCCATGTGAGTGCTGGGATTTGAACCTGGGTCTTCTGCAAGAATAACCAGTGTTCTTAACAGTTGAGCCATATCTGCTGCCCCACTAGTGCTCTTAACTGCTAAGCCATCTTTCCAGCCCCTTAAGTGATTTTTTTAATTGCTGTGCAGATACTTTTTAATTTCATTTGTATCACATTTGTTAATACATGGGAATATCTCCTATACTATTGGAGTCTTTTTCAGAACATTTTCCTCTGTGCCTCTTCCTCCACCTGTTTTCTCTGTACCTTCCTCTGGCTGTTTCAACATTTCAGATTTCATCTTAAGTTTCTATTTTGAATTAATTATTTTGCTGGAATAAAGATATAGATTTAGTTTCATTTTAAAAGAAATATTTTAAAATCTTAATCAAATTTAGACCCCCCTCCTCCATCTTCACTCCTCATAATCCCCCCGCTTATTTCATGTATTCTGTCATATACGTTAAGTTCTATCTGGTCAAACATTTGTCCCAGATGTCCCTCAGTGCAAGTTCATCCACTGGAGTCTAGTCAGCCTGTCTAGAGTCACTCCCTTAAAGAAGATCTACTCATTTTTTATTTGTTGATACCCTCTTATAACAAATTACTTGTCTTGTTTGTTACATTTACCAGATTTTCCTCTTATTGTTTCCCCATGTCTTATTTCTCCTGTGAATTTTGTAAAAGTAGATCTTTCCATTTCTCTGGGCTACAATTTTAGAATAGCGCAAGACATAAAAAGAATAACCTTTTCAGAACACATTGGATTTTGTACTGTGTCCAGGAGAATTTCTGTGTTTTCACTATTTCTGCTCCTATTCCAGACAAGGCCCACGATTTTAGAACTTACATTCCATCATGAATGTTGTATAATATGGTACTTCTTACATTATTCCACAGAGTTACTTGGAAGATGTATTGATGGTGCACCTTTGGAAATCATTTCACTTCAGATGATGAGGGAAATTGGATAAAATATTACTTTTGTGCAATCAATCATTATACCATCAAATTTATTATTTTGCATTTTTGCCCACGTTCATGTTTTGCACACATATTGGAGGCTTTAGTGGACACAAAGAAAAAATTTATTAATCTTTTAATTTTTGTTACTTCCTGTAAGTCCAAATCTAGTAGTGTCTCTATAGTTACAGGTGGGAACGTAGTGATTTGAAATATTTGCTAATTCAAGTGGCATAAATATTTTCAATATGGAGATTTCAAGTTAAGGATATGATTTTATCGAGCTCATATTTGGAGAAATGTACACAAAAGGCCTTTAACAAGGTAGTGTGAGTTGGCTTCACCACACTGGTGCCCGCAGTGTTTCTGAGGTGCTTGTAATATCACTCTTATCTACTTGTACTGCAAGAAAACTAATATGATTCCCACCAGGTCTCCATTTCTAATTTCCTCTACCATTTTGTACAACAGATTATTTAAGATTTTTGCTGGCTCTTAAATAAAAGTAGTTTTCCCAAGTCCGTTTTCAGGAAGCACATGTTTTGGGTCTAGCTTTGAACAGTTATCAGCCGAGAACTGTCACTCTTCACTTTTGTCTTATGATTGATTAAAAGAGACATGTGGGTCACTTGCAGTACTCATTAGACCTGGAATTTTATCTACAATGATGCAAGTATGCTAATTTTTGCCTCAATTTTCTGTAGAGAAGGGAACATGGATTATATTAAATTGCTAAGGGATCATTGTGCAAAAACAAAGTAACAACCTGAAAAAAAACTCTGCTCTATGCTTCCTTGAATCTTACTTGAAAGTTCCCATTTCTTTCATCACAACAAAAGTCTCTAATTTCTGAAATTTTTATTTTGACTAACTGCCCCGCACTCGATGAATGATTTATTTGCATGGCTATCTATTTCTATCTTTTATATTGTGTATGGTTAAGAATGTAACAAGATAAAATAAGTTTGAAAAAGCTACACAAACATTTTAAGACATGGTTTATTTGGTAGAATGTGAAATACAATTGGGAAGAGCCTGGTGTCTGAAATACAGGGACTCACATTAAAACCAACTCTCGGGCCTGGAGAGATGGCTGAACGGTTAAGAACACTGACAGCTCTTGCAGAAGACCGGACTTTGATTCCCAGCACTCAAATGGCGGCTACGAACCGTCCTTAACTCCAGTTCCAGGGGAATCTGAAGCTCTCTTCTGACCTCTGTGGCATTGCATGACACAGGTGCACTCACATACATGCAGGCAATACACTCATACACATAAAATAAAAATAATAAAATTATTTAAAAAAACCCTCAACTCTGCTCATGTTGGATGTGTGGCCTAAATGTCTTTAGACTTGAATCTATTCATCAGTATATGTTTTAATGTATTTTTAATAACATTGTATAGTGTAATTTGGTGCTTTGAAAAGCATAAGTGGAATATATCTTTAAAGCTATCAGTAGACTACCAAGCAAAAAATAGCCAGGATTTAGGAGTTGCTTTGTGTTTCAGTTTAATTCTTTCATTATTATTACTTGCATTTTTCCTTACTAGACTGTAAAATTCATGGGATATCACAGTATAGTCACATTTTAACAGAAAATTATGGAAGTATTCATTACATATTGCTAAGGAAATGAAAAATATGAATAAAGTCTACATCCGATAGGTGATCTCCATAGTTTGTTTTACAGTGAAAATCACATAAGTTTTTAAAAAGTTAGTAATAATCTTTGTTTATTTTGAAAGGAGTAGACTAAGGATAGCCTTGCGGATCTGTTTAGTTTTCACACTGTAGATGATGGGGTTGAGTACTGGAGGCAAAAGAAGGTAAACATTGGCCATCATTGAATGGACCACTTTAGGGGTTGACCGACCATAGCGATGTACCAAGGACAGGCTCATCATAGGGATATAGAAAATAGCAACTGCTCCAATGTGGGACACACAGGTGCTGAAGACTTTGTACCTTTCTTCAGAGGAGGCAATACCAAGGACAGACTGAATGATCAATATATAAGACAAGACAATGCATGGTGTATCTACCCCTGTGGTGAGAACGAGATCAGCTAATCCACAGATGCTGTTGGCCCGAGTGTCTGAGCATGCTAGTTTAATCACATCTGGATGGTAGCAGTAAGAGTGGGAAAGGGTATTCATTTTACAGAAAGGGAGAGGCTTGAGGAGCAAAAGTAGTGGTACTGTTAATACTACAGAACGCACAATCACTAGGAAACTCATCTGAATGACTCTAGAGTTAGTAAGAACTGTTGTGTACCTAAGAGGGTTACAGATTGCTACATAACGGTCAAAAGCCATGGCAACCAACACCCCAGATTCTATAAAAGTGAATCCATGGAGAAAAAACATCTGGATAATGCAGGTGTCTAGATTGATTTCATTTGCATGAAACCACAGGACTCCCAAGGTGGTTGACATTGTAGAAACAGTCAAACCCAGGTCCGCGGCTGACAGCAAGGAGAGGAAATAGTACATGGGTTCATGGAGACTCTGCTGGGTCACCGTGACAAAGAGGATCATGCTGTTCCCAGAGAGGGCAACGGCATAGAGGCAACAGAAGGGGATGGAGATCCAGACGTGAGCAGACTCAAGGCCAGGAACGCAAGTCAACAAGAAGGTTGGAAATTTCCATGTGAAGTTGCTTGGGAATACCATGGTCTCTGGTATTTGTGCTATTTATTCTTGCAATTGTTCATTCTAAGATGTAACAAACTGCATTTTAATAAACATTTATTTGAAGAATTTTTGACTACATGAATTACTCTAGGAAATAAATTCCCAGTTTTCAAGAAAAAAATAAAACCTAGAAATTATTCTCCTACCAATTATAGAGACATTTAGCAAAGACTTAATGACGTTTACCTTTAAACTAAGATTTATTTAATTTTATATATTTATA